TTTCTTGTGATACACACATCAAGAATCTTCAACACCTTCTCCATGCTGCCTCTCCCATTCACAACACACCATGTCCTGAATACTATCTATCTCCCTATTATATATGTATAGCTTTCTGGGTGGATATGGATCAACAAAATACGGTATTATCCAAACACTAAATACGGATCAACAAAATACGGTATATCCAAACACTAAATGTGGATCAACAAAATACGGTATATCCAAACACTAAATATGGATCAACAAAATACGGTATTATCCAAACACTAAATACGGATCAACAAAATATGGAATATCCATACAATCAATATGGATCAACAAAATACGGTATAGCCATACAATAAATATCACGCAGCCCTAAGAAGGAATGAAATTCTGATACACGCTACAACATGGAAGAACCTCGAAAACATGATGCTAAGGGAAATAAACCACACACAAAAGGACAAATATTGTATGCTTCCACTTATATGAGGCACCCAGAAGAGGTAAACTTATCACACAGACAGAGAGTGGAATAGAGGTGATGAGGGGCTGGGGGAGGGAAGAATGAGGAGTTACTGTTTAATAGGTACAGAGTTTCACTTTGGAATGATGACAAAGTTCTGGAGATAGAGGTGATGGTTGCACAAGAGAATTAATACATTTAATCTCACTGAATGGTACACTTAAAAATGGCCAAAATAGTATATTTATGTTTATTTTTCCATAAGCTTGGCGGTTCTTTAAAAAGCTAAACATAGAATTCAACGTAAGAGTGAATTTTTTTTTTTAAATCAAGGGAAGAAAGCTGAAAATTACTCCTTTAAGAGCATCAGGCCGGGCACGGTGGCCCACGCCTGTAATCCCAGCACTTTGGGAGGCTGAGGAAGGCGAATCACGAAGTCAGGAGATCGAGACCATCCTGGCTAACACAGTGAAACCCCATCTCTACTAAAAATACAAAAAATTAGCCAGCCGTGGTAGTGGGCACCTGTACTCCCAGCTACTCAGAAGGCTGAGGCAGGAGAATGGCGTGAACCCGGAAGGCGGAGGTTGCAATGAGCCGAGATCGTGACACTGCACTCCAGCCTGGGCGACAGAGGGAGACTCTGTCTCAAAAAAAAAAAAAAGCATCAAAGTGACAGAACACAGTCGGTCTATATGATCCATAGCCAAGGATATAAGTTAGAGGTTAGTTTTGTTTTGTTTTGCTTGTTTTGAGACAGGCTCTCACTCTGTTGCCCAGGATGGAGTGCAGTGGCACAATCACACCTCACTGCAGCCTCGACCTCCGGTGCTCAGAGTCCTCCTATCTCAGCCTCCTGAGGAGCTGGCACTGTAGGTACGTGCCACCATGCCTGGCTAATTTATTTTTAATTTTATTATTTGTAGAGATCGGGTCTCCCTTTGTTGCCCAGATTGGTCTCCAACTCCTGAGTTCAAATGATCCTCCTGCCTCAGCCTCCCAAAGTGCTACAGCTACAGACATGAGCCACCACACCCAGCCTGGAGGTTAGCTTTTACAGTGTCCTTACAAGGACTGAATATTTGGTAACGCACCACAATGTCACCAAAGTTTGAAAAAATATCTTTGATTCCAACTTAAAGTTTCAATCTTGTCATTCCTAGGTAGCTAAAACCAAATGAAAACAAATATAATTTTGTCTTCTTCCAGATTACAACAAGAAATAAAAGCAAATGTACATATAGCAAGAAATAAAAACTGAAAGAGAAACTATTATAATGGCTTAGTAAATCTCCAGGTAGTTGGTAATTTTAAAAATAGTTTACTATTATATATGTATAGCTTTCTGGGTGGAAGTGACTTTTATTTTCTTAATATCTTTATTTTCTATTTTTTAAATAATGATCATTCTTCTAAACAGTATTATGTAAGCCAAAAATCTAGGAGTCACCTGATAGTTTCTCATATCCAAGAAATCACCACTCCTGTAGGTTTTACCTGCTAAATACCTCTTAAATTAATCTATTTTTCCCTGTCCCCAACAATGTTAAGCCCAGAGGCCTTTTTTTTTTTTTTTTTTTTGATACATGGTTTCGTCATATTGGCCAGGTTGGTCTTGAACTCCTGGCCTCAAGCAATCCTGCCGCCTCAGCCTCCCAAAGTGCTAGGATTATAGTTGTAAACCACCACGCCCGGCCAGAACAGCCTTTTTATTTATTTATCTTTATTTTATTTTAGAGACTACATTGCCCAGGCCAGACTTGAACTCCTGGGCTCAAGCAATCCTCCCACCTCAGCCTCCCAAATGGCTGAGACTACAGGTGTGCCCCACTGCACCTGGTTTACAGTAGCCTCTTAATTGGTCTCCCCATATCCACTCTTGTTCTCACTATCCCTCCTTCCACCGCGCAGTGATCATTTCTAAATACAAATCTCAGTATGTCCTTCCCCTATGTCCACCTGCTCAAAACCTTACTCTTAAGATAAAATAAAAAACATCACTTCAGCCTACATACAAGGCCCTACACGACCTGGCCTTGCCTATCTTTTCACCACTCAGTTTAAGTCACATGCCCTTGCTCTTTGTGTCCTTCCACCCTGACCACACGGCCTTTATGCAGGCTATTCTTTTTGGGTTTTTTTTTGTTTTTTTTGTTTTTTTTTTGAGATGGAGTCTCGCTCTGTTGCCAGGGTGGAGTGCAGTGGCGCGGTCTTGGCTCACTGCCGCCTCTGCCTCACGGGTTCAAGCGATTCTCCTGCCTCAACCTCCTATGCAGGCTATTCTTTTTATCTGTAATGTTCTCCCCTCCCTCTCTTCAGTTGGCGAATTCTTAGTCATCCTTGGGCTCACAGTTCAAGCATTTCTTCTGAAAAGATCTTTCCTTCCCTAATCTCCCCAGTTAAGACAAATCCTCTATTATAACATCTCCTAGCAATAAATATTTTTCCTTTGCAATCTTTGTTACATAGTCATAAATCTGTCAATGCTATTTCAGATGGCTTTTTGACAGCTTCCTACACTGGAAATTAAACCAATTTCAAAAAAGAAGCGTTGTCTTCAATCCAGACTTTTCCAAATCACATATCCAACTGCCTACCATATTTCTCACTTGAAGGGCTCAAAAATACATGTACAATATGCGCAAAATTAAATCACTTCTACCCACCCCAAACTGGTCCTCCTCATCTTCCCTGCCTCACCGAATGCACTGCTATCTTTCTTGTGATACACACATCAAGAATCTTCAACACCTTCTCCATGCTGCCTCTCCCATTCACAACACACCATGTCCTGAATACTATCTATCTCCCAATTATTTATTGACCTTATCCCGTTCTTCACCCTTCACAACACCACCTCTCTGGCCCAGGTCATTATCACGTCTTTCTTGGGTTGCTCTAAGAGTCTCAAACTGATCTCTTCATAACCAGTCTTGCCCTCTACCAGCCATTTTTCATTCAGCAGACAAGCCACTCCCCCCATGCAAATGTGAACATTTCCTTATTAAATCCCTTCAGTGGCGTCCCAAAGCTCTTAGGCTAATAAAGTCTGAAATCATTAACAAGGCAGGCATAATCCAGGCCTTATCTGTCCCTCCAACTTCATTTGTTGCCACTTTCCCCTTCCAGACACACTGGTCTTCTTCCACTTTCTCTGCTGCATGGTAGTCTGTCTCACCATCTCCTATTCTTACTGCCTGCAAGACTCTCCTCACCCTCCCACCATCGCCGTTCACCTCTGAAGGCCCACTAGCTCCTCGTATCACAACCGAAGCATCATTTTTCTCAGGCAGGCTTTCTCTGACCCCACAATCCAATCAGATGCCCATCTACATGCTTTCAAAGCACCCTGTGCTGCTTCTCCCTCAGAGATCCTCAGTTTACTACTGGGTGTGTAATTAATTTGCATATGTCACACACAGACCTGCAACCATATCCATCCTAATCTTCACTATACCCCCAGCAACTTCTATACAATAAATATTTGTTGAGTAAACAATTCAGAATTTGAGGGGATTAGTAGTCACCTGAAAGTTTTTCAGCATACCGTTACTACCTTTTGCCCCTTACACTATGACTAAAACTGACTATATACCTGTTTTAATTTCCTAGCATTGACATACCTTTTACTGACCATCAGGAAAGAGAGGAGCATAAAACGAGGATGGCCCCCAGTCCTTAAGAAAACATCAACTGGGCAAGGTGGTGCGTGCCTGTGGTCCTAGCTACTACGGAAGCTGAGGATGGCTTGAACCCAGCAGTTCCAGTCCAGCCTGGGCAACACAATGAGATCCTGTCTCAAAATAAACAAATACAAATAATAGACTTTATTAAAAAGAAAATATCAAAAATGAAAGTGTTGGCTGGGCACGGTGGCTCACGCCTATAATCCCAACACTTTCAGAGGCCAAGACAGGAGGATCACCTCAGGAGTTCGTGAGACCAGCCTGGCCAACGTGGAGACCATCCTGGTCAACACAGTGAAACCCTGTCTCTACTAAAACACAAAAATTAGCTAGGTGTGGTGGCGCCTGCCTGAAGTACCAGCAACTCGGGAAGCTGAGGCAGGAGAATCACTTGAATCCGGGAGGCGGAGGTTGCAGTGAGCCAAGATCACACCACTGCACTCCAGCCTGGCGACAGACCAAGACTCCATCTTAAAGAGGTGGTGGGTGCCTCTAATCCCAGCTACTCAGGAGGCTGAGGCAGGAGAATCACTTGAACCCGGGAGGTGGAGGTTGCAGAGAGCCGAGATAATAATATTGCACTCCAGCCTTGGTGACAGTGAGACTCTGCCTCAAAAAAGGAAAAAAAAGAAAAAGAAGAAAGAGAAAATGTCCTTTCTTGTGATTCTGGCAAGCAACAAAAAAGAAAACTAAGAGTAATTTCTTTAAGCTGATAGAAAATATTTTCCCTATTTATGGGGGACATGTGACCTTTATGGGGTATTTGTTACACGCATAGAATGTGTGATGATCCAGTCAGGGTATGTGGGGTATTCATCACTTTAAGTATTTTTTATATCTATGTGTTGGTAACATTTCAAGCCCTCTCTTTACCTATTTTGAAATACACATTGTTGCTGACTATAGTCACCATACCCTAACAGTGACTAAAGAGGCAGTGGCATGTGAGGGCTCTGTAACACATTAAGGAAAATTCTACAGACTACATAGCTGACACAGTGAACACACAACACGATACTCTGAATATATGTGAAACAAATTAAATTATAGATATGGCAGATTCAATTCATTTCCTACATTATTCAACTTTTCTGGTCAGAACAGATACAGAATGAGTCAATACAACCACCTCTTTTCTAACTAACCTCCCAATATGGGCAATGGGTTCTTAGCCAAATATATCCTATTCTTCAGAGTTTAACTGGGCATCAACTTTTTTTTTTCCTTCTTGTTGAGACAGGGTCTCATTCTGTTGCTCAGAATGCAATAGTGGAATCATAGCTCCCTGCAGCCTCCAACTTCTGAGATCAAGCAATCCTCCCGCCTGAGCCTCCCAAGTAGCTGGGACTACAGGCACAGGCCACTGTACCCGGTTAATTTACTTCATTTTTTGTAGAAAGGGAGTCTCTCTTTGCTACCCAGGCTCTAGCTTCAATTTTCAACACAGAATTTACCCATCTGACATTCCATATATTTTACTTTAAAAAAATCTCCCGTCAGTAAGGTTTAAGAGCGAAAATATTTTGTCTGTCTTGTTCATTGCATATCCCAACGCCTAAAATAGTGCCTGAGAGAGTAGGCACTCAAGTATTTGTTGATTGAAAGCACGACGTCCGGACCACCGACACAAAGCTCACTCATTGAGTTTCAAAAAAAGCTCACTCCAAGGACTGAAACTTTTCTTCCTGGTTACTTGAGTCAGTCCAGAAAGCTACAGTTAATAGTAGAACCCTGAGAATGAGGCTTTCACTTTTTTTTTTCTTTCTCATCTCCATGCTTGTTTCCTTGGTTCCTCTTGACCATTAACCCTCTTCAACTACCATTCTCTTAATACATGGCCTGTAAAATAGTCTAAATTCCAATTTCAAAACTTAATATTCTTTCTGCACAGATCCCTCCCACCTCAACACCAATCTACATCTTCTCTCTCCGCCTTCTCTCATAAATTCGACTTTTCCCACTAGTCCTGCCACTGCCATTTCTCCATCTCTTCCACTCTTTCCACGCCCTCATCTCATCCGCTCAGTTTGTCTTCCCGCCTCAGTTTTGGATTTCTCTAAACCTCCTAAACCCCGGGGAGTCTTTCCTACTTCAATCCTAGTCTCTATTCTATTCGCCAACTCCTCCCACTCATCCACTCTCAAACACCCCCGCGTGCGCACACGCAGCCACATCAGGTCTCCCCTCCTAGACCCCGAAGTCGGCACCTCACTAGCCCAAAACTCAAGAATGAGGAACCCGGGTGATCCACAGGTTAAGTGACCCAGGATAGTAGATCTGCGTGAGAAATATAAGTGACCCACCTCTGAGACCGAGGTTCCTGCCAGACGTCGTGTCTGGCGTGGGCCTGTACAACCCTAGAATCTTAAAGAAGCCGCAGAGCGAAACTCCTAGAAACGCAGAGGATACGCTCCCAGCGCGCCGCCATCTTGTGAAGCCATCTAGCCTCATGATTGGACAAATCCCTCTCGCGCGACCTGTGGCTGATCCTGAAGAAAGAAGAAACCGTCGCGAGACCTGGAGTTGGCTGCTCCTGACAGAAGGCGGGGGCGTGGTGGCAAGCGGAGTCCTTTGCAGTATGGCAGGAGGAGGACCTGCGCTCGAATTCGCGGGAAAGCACTTAAAAGAAAAAGAAACAAGTTTTCCGGGCCGTGCTGCAGACTTACCTCTCACTCCCACTGGGATTGGACAGGTTATGAAGATAAGGGTATGAGACTTGGGCATCATGGCGTGCAGTGAGCGCTTTTTGTGCAACAGGTGTGTCCTCAGGCGATGTCTCACTCACTGAATCATAAGAGATTCATTGGGGTGGGGAAGAGTACTCTCATTTACAGCTAAAGAACTGAGGATCAGAGGTTTTTGTTGTTTGTTTGTTTTTTGATGGAGTCTCGCTCTGTTGCACAGGCTGGAGTGCAGTGGCGCGATCTTGACTCGCTGCAGCCTCCGCCTCCCGGGTTCAAGCGATTCTCCTGCCTCAGCCTCCCAAGTAGCTGGGATTATAGGAACCCGCCACCACGCCCGGCTAATTTTTGTATTTTTAGTGTAGATGGGGTTTCTTCATATTGGCCAGGCTGGCCTCGAACTCCTGACCTCAGGTGATCCGCCTGCCTCGGCCTCCCAAAGTGCTGAGATTACAGGTGTGAGCCACCGTGCCCAGCTGGATCAGAGCTATTAAGTGGTTTGTTCAAGATCTTACACTCAGAGGCCGGATGCCGTGGCTCACATCTGTAATCCCAACAGTTTAGAAGGCCAAGGTGGGCGGATCTCTTGAGCCCAGGAGTTCAAGACCAGTCTGGGCATCATGGCGAAAACCCGTCAATACAAAAAATACAAAAATTAGCCGGGCGTGGTGGTGGTGCGCCAGAAGTCCAGCTACGTGGGGGACTGAGGTGGGAGGCTGAAGTGGGAGGATCACTTGAGCCCGGGATGTCGAGGCTGCAGTGAGCCGAGTTTCCACCACTGCACTCCAGCCTGGCAGACAGAGCAAGACGCAGTCTCAATAAATAAATAATAAATAATAAAAAAATTGGATGACATCAAGTCTGCCTGTCCTAAGCTGGAAGTTCTGTTAATGCATTTCAATTTCTTTTAAACTCATTTCTACCGATTTTACCTTCTTGTAAGTGGAGTGAATATAAATCTCCCCCAGTTTGCGGCTGAGATAGAAAGGTTAGTGACTTTCAAAAGGTATACAAGTAGTAACAAAGTGAGGGCTAAAGTCAGCCTCTGGACCTAGTACCTCTTTCCATTTAAAAAAAAAAAAAAAAAAAAAAGGCCTGCCTACGTCCTCATCGTTAATGTGAACGCTTCTGGCAAACTACTGCGATAAAATTGGGAGATAGTAAGGATTAAGGAATGGAGACTTCAGCCTTATGCACAAGTGAGTGTACCAGCAGTCACCCAAAGAAAGCTGAGGGGGTGTTTTCATAATCTATTGTGTAACAAACCGCCCCAAAACTAAGACTTAAAACAACAACCATTTTATTTGGTCACAGTTCTGCAATCTGGGCTGTGATTAGGCCAGCCATTTTGCTGGTCTTGCGAGTGGTCATAGCATCAAGTGGGGGCTGGTTCTGCTGAAAGAACTGGGTCTCTCTCCCTATAGTCCAAGTTATTTCCCTGTCCATATAGCCTTTCCACATAATTTGTCTAGCAGAGTAGGAAGACGTTTTCCCCACGGAGATGGAGTTTCACTCTTATTGCCCAGGCTAGAGTGCAATGGTGCCATCTTGGCTCACTGCAACCTCTACCTCCTGGGTTCAAGTGATTTTCCTGCCTCAGCCTCCTGAGTAGCTGGGATTACAGGCGCCCGCCACCATGCCCAGGTAATTTTTTGTATTTTTAGTAGAGACAGGGTTTCATCATGTTGGCCAGGCTGGTCTCAAACTCCTGACCTGAGGTGATTCACCCGCCTCGGCCTCCCAAAGTACTGGGATTGCAGGGATGAGCCACCGCGCCCGGTCAGAATACTTCTTACGTGTTGGCTCAGGGCTCCCAAAAGGGCAAAAATGGAAGCTGCCAGGCCTTCTTAAAGCTTAGGTACAGAACTACCACCTTGGCCATACTCTTGGTTAAAGCAAGTAAAAGGGCCAGCCCCCAGCCATTCAAGGGGAAAGGACTATGCCAGGATACCTTCCAATATTAGAAGGCATGGTTCATTTCGGCAATCAATGTAACATATTACTACAGAAAGTTTTCCATCTTTAGTTGGTAGTGGCTTTGATACTACTTATAGCATTTTATTTAGTGCGTGCTACTGGAAAGGTGAAAGAAAAGATGGCCTCGGAGATAGGACTAGTGGAGTTGAAGTGATTCTGTTTAAGATATTGGTAACTTTCTGTTAGCTCCAAAGAGCAACCCCGTTTATCTATAGGTCAGGCCCGAGGGACCCTAGTAGCACTGCAGCTGGGAAACCTGGCCTTTAATCCTGCCCACCATTTACTAGCCCTGTGATTATAGGCAATTTACTTAAACACTTGAAGCCTTAGTTTACTCAATATTACAAAACAGGATAATAATCTCATAGGGTTGTGGGAATTAAAATCAGACAATGCATATAAAACAACAAAATGTCTAGCATATAGTAAGTTCCTAATAATTGTAATATTGCTCCTTATAACTTATCTGGTCAGTTTTTTTTTAAGTATTCCATAAAGATAAAACATTTTGATAATTGAAAATTTGTAAACAACTTAAATAATACATAAAGATATCAGAAAGACAAAAATTATCTAAAATCTTGCCACTCACAGCCAAGCACCATCAAATTTGGGTAACCTTACCACTAAACCTCTATATCTCATAAGGATATATAACCAAATAATTTTTATACAAATAATAATATATATTAGTATATATATGTAATTACATATATATACACACACACACACACACGCACATATACTCAAATATAACTCTTGAAGATTCTTCCACTTCCATCAATATAGTTCTATATTATTCTTTGTGATAGGTGGCACCAGTATTCCAGGAATTGATATACCACTTTTCTTTTTGTTTTTTTTTGAGATGGAGTCTCACTCTGTCGCCCAGGCTGGAGTGCAGTGGCATGATCTCGGCTCACTGCAACCTCCGCCTCCTGGTTCAAAGCGATTTCTCTGCCTCAGCCTCCCGAGTAGCTGGATTGCAGGTGCCCACCACCACGCCTAGCTAATTTTTTGTATTTTTAGTAGAGGACGGGTTTCACCATGGTTGCCAGGCTGGTCTCAAACTCCTGAGCTCCAAGTGATCCACCTGCCTTGGCCTCCCAGAGTGTTGGATTACAATCCTGGGCCACGCACCCGCTGGATATACCACTTTTTTTAAAACTAATTAGCGGCAGATTCGGTTGGCCCAGACCTGTAATCCCAGCACTCTGGGAGGGCAAGGCAGTGGATCACTTGAGCTTCAGGAGTTTGAGACTAGCCTGGCCAACATGGTGAAACCCCGTCTCTACTAAAAATACAAAAAATTAGCCAGGCTGGTGGGGTGGAGCCACCAGCAATCCCAGGCTCTTCAAGAGGCTGAGGCAGGAGAATCGCTTGAACCTGGGGAGTCGGGAGGTTGCAGTGAGCCGAGATCACGCCACTGCACTCCAAGCCTGGGCGGACAGAGGTGAGACTCCCATCTCAAACAACAAAAACAAGGCCAGGTGCAGTGGCTCACGCCTGAAATTCCAGCACTTTGGGAGCTGAGGTGGGGTGGATCACTTGAAGGTCAGGAGTTCGAGACCAGCCTGCCAGCATAGTGAAACCCCATCTCTACTAAAAAATACAAAAACTAGCAGGCGTGGTGGTGGCAACTGTAATCCCAGCTACTTCGGGAGCTAGGCAGGAGAATTGCTTTGAAACCGGGACCGGGAGGCCAGAGATTTGCAGTAAAGATCGTGCCAACTGCACTTCCTGGTCTCTGGCGGGAGAAGATGAGACTCTGTCTCCAAGAAAATAACAAAACCAAACAACAACAAGCAACAAAACTAATTCCCCCTGGGGATGGATATATAGGTTGCTTTCCAGTGTGGTCTGGTATGACCTGATTACCCAAATATTTGTGATACAATCATTATAATACATATCCTTGAAAACTTTTTTATATAAAATGAAAATTATCTGGAGACTCCACAGAATAGATTAACAAGATATTCAACATCTGCCTTTTTCCAAATTTACCCTCAAATCTTCAAGGATGTAACTGGTCAGAGAAGTCTCTCAAACTTCCATACCCCAGCAAGGACAGTGCAGATGTCCAATTAGCCAGTTACATCCTTTGCTACCTCTTTGTAGCAGGAAACTGATTCTGCACATCCAATAAATAATGCTGCTCATTATGAAATGTTGCCTAGCAGGTCATCAGAGCTGCTTTCAGCAGCAGCTGCCTACTGGACTGGAATCAACCCTTGAGGGCATCAGACTGGGCTCTCTCTTTACTGAAATTAATTATTTCAAGGACTTTGTGGCCCTTCCCTGTCACTGTCCTTTGGCCACAGCCAGCCTGTCAACAGCCACAGGTCTCTCTGACTTTGTGTTTCAGAAAGTAATAATTGAGTGTCAATTTCTTCTAGCTTAGAAGACCCTAGCTTCCTTATGGAAATTCGTCCACGTCCTTCTTAGGGACCAAGTTTACATATCAGGGATCTAATAGTCATTATAGTTGTCACAAAAGCTATATCCAGGTGGGTGCAGTGGCTCACGCCTGTCATCCCAGCACTTTGGGAGGCTGAGGAGGGCGGATCACCTGAGGTCATGAGTTCTAGACCAGCCTGGCCAACACGATGAAACCCCATCTCTATTAAAAATACAAAAAATTAGTCAGGCGGGGTGGTAGATGGCTGTAATCCCAGCTACTCGGGAGGCTGAGGCAGGAGAATCGCTTGAACCCAGGAGGCAGAGATGACAGTGAACTGAGATCGCGCCACTGCATTCCAGCCTGGGCAACAGAGCAAGAGTCCCTGTCAAAAAATAA